CACACACACACACACACACACACACACACACACACACACACACACACACACACACACACCAACGCCTTTCAAATCATCTGAGGAAATTTGTGTTATAGGAGAAGTCGGTAGTTTACATTTCTGACAATATTTAAAGCCCACTTCACAAAACCACACATAAATTTCACTAGTCATATCACTGGTTTGTATTTTTATTTCATTGTTTTTAATAACTCTGTTGATTTTATGAGCTTTGATCACTTACATGAGTTGGGTTTGAAAGTGCTGCAGAAACAAGAACTGACTTCCTGCTACAAAGTGATCCGAATACTCAGACATACTGTTTGTTCATATGAATGTAAGCACATCAAGGACATAAATCTGTTTAGACTTGGATCTTTGATGGCTCTTATGTGTTTCTTTAAGCTCAGAGGCATGTCCATGGAGAAGGAACTTGACATGAGGGCAGATCAACTATCATAAACATTGCTTCTACTGGCACAGGTGTAAAAACCAACAGGCCCGCCGGTCCCGTTTGATAGCTGATCCACCCTCATAAAAACTGTAAGTGCAAAATGATTTTAAGTGTTTTGCCCGATTTGAAGGCAAATGGGGGCACTTAGAGTGTGAAAGCAATGCAAACTGATGGGACCGGGTGTGAGAGGGAAGTATGAAGGGGAAAAAATGTGATTTATTTATTATTGAACTAAATTCTTCTCAGGAAATCATGTTCTATTGCAGTGCCTATTTGGAACAAAATAAAATAAGAGAAAAAGAGTAACCTGCAGTTCTCTAAATTGAGGTTAATCCATATTTTTTCATGTTTCCCTTTACAATTTTCCATGTGGAGCCCTTATAAATTCCACCTCCCAAAATAAGCAGCTTAACCTGACTTCTTATTGCTAAAGGAGAGCAGTTTTACTTTTCCTATTAGACCAATTTCTTCAAATCTTGTTTGGTCGCTCAGTGTTTTTTTCCCCATGTTTGTGGTTGACATAGTTCCTTTTCAGTCTTTGTGTCTTCACTTAACACMAACATTTAAGTCAAAAAAGAAAAATATTTCGCTTTCCCTAACAAACCTAATGTTTTTTTTTTTTATAGTTGTGTCTTCATCCGACTCAACTTGTACAAAATAGTTTTCTTTTCTAAAAAAAAAAATCAATGTGACTTGTTTATAAAAGCTAATCTGAATCAATCCTAATGTACAATGCAGCATCTAAACCAGGGGTGCCCAAACGTTTTCCCCAAGGGGGCCACAATGAAAATCTATTTGGGGCTGCGTGCCATATGCAGTAATATAATACATAAAATACAAATACGTATTAAGTAAAGTCCTTTATTTTTAATGATTATGCTAGAAGCCAGTGTGGTGGCCCATTTTATTTTAGTCTGTGCACTTGGAGAAAATCTGACATATGCTCAAGCAGCAAAGGCTCATGGGATATTTTATAAATTGATAATATATATGTATTTTTTTTTCTTTTGTGGCCTTATAAAGTGAGCAAATCTACGTGTGTGGTTAAATCAAATCTAAATATCTCTTGTTGTTACTTGTATTTCATGTTTCATGCTTAATCTTAATATATCAAAGACAAGTCAGCACCATGAGTAAAAACTATCTGCACTACAGCCCCTTATATAGTCATCAGGCCAACGGATGAAATGACTCATTGAAAATACTGTGTTTCTACATAGGATGACAGGTTACAACTTAGTAACTATGTCAACTGCTGGTGGGCCAAATCACGTGGCTTTGTGGGGCAAATTTGGCCTGCAGGCCCCACTTTGGGCTCCTCTGGTCWAAACACTGCTTTAGATCACATTTATTCACCATTGGAGGCAATGAGGGTTCAGTGTCCTGCCAAAGGTCACTTCATCATGTGACTGTTTTCTGCCAACTCATTGGAAGATGACCACTCTAACCACTAACATACAGCTGATCCATCACACAAAAGTGCATCTAGTGTTTGATTGCGGTTAAAAAAATAAAGCCAAACACTTCATAAGTGCTTTACGTGTATAAAAACAATTTACATTTGAAAACTACCAACCATTCATTCCTTCCCTCTAAGTGATCTTTTCCAAGTCCATTTCCAATAAATACAACCCCTCAGTGTTAACGCCGGCACACATGCATACAGCTATACCATACAAAATATATTCACACTCATGCACCTCCCTTTTCCTGGAACCCTCCCTCACATACCAGAGTGCTTACCTTGTGGGTAGCTGTGGTAGTATGAGACTGGAATTCTGATTTATTTGTCAAAGTTTAGCCCCTTCACCTCATCATGGGAGCTGAACGTTAAAAACATAAAACTGGAAAAGTGTAAAGAAGACGACGACTATGGAAAACTATCCGAGTTCATATTATACATGCCCCAAAATGAAAGGAATGTAAAAACAAGACTACATTTAGATAACCTTTGTCACTGTTTACTTCTGAAATTTCTGAAACTGTGGATATCTTCACATGTTGTTAACGTTAAAGTTAAATTAGCGAATATCTTTCAGTTTGCTGAAGTTGCGCAAACTAGACCTCCTCAAATATACTGTACCTCCTTTTCTTTTTTCTAATTAAGTCATTTACAGCCAAACAAGCAGTCAATCACTGCAGTGTCTGAGTTCTAAAAAAAGCTACACAAGAGTTTTCTTTTGGCAGGATTGCATTTATTACAGTGACCTGCTCACTACATTCATCTTTACTACGTTGCCATCGGGATGAGAAAGTGTCTCTTTGCTCATCTGTTTCACTCCCCCTCTATTCAAAAAGCGGTTAATAGGTCAGCTGAGTGAGATCCAACAGAAACACTCTGATTAAAAAGACATTTATTCTTTGCTCAGACACGCTGCATATCGCACGCTTTGACACAGATGTCAGTTMGGCTCGCACACACACACACATCTACACACTCCATTCACATGCTGTCACTTAGCACGTGCACAACTTGCGCAAAAAAATAGTAAATGTTATCTAATCATAAAATGTGCTAGCACAGGTTAATGCAACAGAGAAAATATGTTATTTATGTGTGCAGCTGCAGCGTATGATTACAGTGGATGCTTCCTTGATAACCTGTAGCTGGCTTGTCTGTGACCTTTGACCTGTGTGTGCTGTGCAGAGAGGAAGGGTTGAGTTGATAGCAGAAACGGGCTGACACTAATGAGACAGCAGTCACAAGAAGATGGACGAGCTGATGGGGGGAAAAGAAATCCTTCCAACTATCGCGAGCACTCCTGGATGACTCCGCTCACAGAAAACTTAAAACTGTGCAGCATGCACCAGATGCATGAAAATAGCACACATATGTGCACTCAGGTGCAATGAATGCACACACACACAAAAAGGAAGTGCAGACTGATYGCACTATCCCATCAGGAACTACTGTATTTTTAGTCCTTCTAATGTCCAAGTTTGCACAGAGTTTGATGGTTGCAGTGCCAGGGCAGATATGGAAAATRGATGCTCAAAAGTTGTACTCATGTAAGAGTAAACAAATCATTGTGAAAAAAGTTAAGTTACTCAAGTAAATGTACTACCCACCTCTGATAATGAATGCGGCAGGAAACCATACCAGATCCAACACACAACCCCATTCAAATTGATTCTTAATTGCTCACAACAACAGATAGTGACAACACACTTGGATATTCTAAAAGAAATACAACTGACTTAGTGTTTCCAGTTTACATAAATTCTCTATTGCTCTTTTTTCTTATGTGTAACCTTTTTTGCACTCACACATCTGAATAAAACATAAAATCTTAAAACACAGGGTTACGCACAGACAGACAGAACTTTGCTTTGGCACTTAACAACCACTCATTTGGAGCATACACATGTATACACACCATGCCAATTCATAAATCAAATGATAATTGAGTAACACTCTGCCAGTAATAAACAGAGTAGTATAAACAGCCAGTGTCTGGACTGGATACACCACCTCCCACTGGCATGCCTCTGGCTGTCTGCTGCCTGGTAAACTCTAGCATACAAACACACACACACACACACACACACACACAC